AGGTTTTTTTGAGATGTTTCCGTGATTTGTTCAAATTTTTCGGAAATCCCTCTAAATTCAAATTTTGAGGAGTTTCCTCTTTTTTTTGATCGATTTCCCAGAATTGTGTATCCGTTTCCTCTTTATTTTATTCAAATATTTTCGAGGGATTTCCCAATATTTTTGAGGGGATTCCCAATATTTTTGGTCCGTTTCCTCATTTTTTTGATCTGTTTCCGCTTTTTTCAAAAACTTTAAAAATCACAGTTTGTTGATCGGTTTCCTCAAATTTTAGGTCCGTTTCCTAATATTTTTGATCCGTTTCCCCCTTTTTTCAAAAACTTTAAAAATCTTAATTTTATTGATCCGTTTTCTCAAATATTAGGTCCGTTTCCTCATATTTTTGATCCGTTTCCGCTTTTTTCAAAAACTTTAAAAATCTTAATTTGTTGATCGGTTTCCTCAAATTTTAGGTCAGTTTCCTCATATTTTTGATCCGTTTCCGCTTTTTTCAAAACTTTAATAATCTCTAATTGTTGATCGAATTCCTCAAATTTTAGGTCCGTTTCCTCATATTTTTAATTCGTTTCTGCTTTTTTCAAAAACTTTAAAAATCTCAATTGGTTGATCGGTTTCCTCAAATTTTAGGTCCGTTTCATCATATTTTTGATCCCTTTCCGCTTTTTTCAAAAACTTAAAAAATCTCAATTTATTAAAACGCACCAAATGGCAAATAGATTAATTATTTTTGAGGGAACCCATGGGTATCCCGGGACAAACATAAGCTAAAAAATAGATTTTTTAATTTGAAATTTAAGTTTTCTTCAAATTTCGTTTTTTAAACCCTATGTGTTTTTAAAATGTTTTACAGATTACACAAATAAGACAATAGAGCATTCTTTTCTATGAAGTCATGAACTTTTTAACTGTATTTTTAATCCTTAAAAAAAATCAGTTCGAAAAAGTTATTTAAACATTTATAGAGTGTAAATCATTTAATGAATGTGTACAGAGTGTCCCAATAAACATAGGAATTCAGTGATGAATTCGATATCCTCTTTGATATGAATTAGCAGTGTAATTCCTAATTTCTTAAACCATAATATTATTATGTCTGCTAGAGTTTTTTTTAGTGAAAACGGTAAATTACTGTTATAAAGATTTGTCTTTATGTCTCTTCAAGATGAACAGTGAAGACGGACAAGTTTACTCTGTTAGTTTACTGTAATTTTTTTGTTTTACTAAGAACAACCGTATGCATGGTCAAAACATAAACAAACAAATTGTAAACATAGCAGAATTCGTCACTGAATTCCCATGTTTATTGGGACAATCTGTATGAAATCAGTACTTTTTTATATTCATCAAATATTTTTTTTATTAGCTGTAGAAATTACACAGATAAGAAAAAAGGTATAATTTACTTAAAGGTCATACACTTTTGTATATGTTTTTTTGATCTAACCTAACCTAACCTAACCTACAAGCTCATTTAAACTCTTTTTTGTGTATCAAGCAATATATTGTACATATACTGTGAAAGGTTTAAACAAATTAGTACACATATTTAGTCCTTTCTGTGGAATCAGTGATACATTATTTTATCAATATTTTATAAAAATGTTACAGTGAGAACCACAAAACTGTGGAACAGGAAGACAACTTTTAGACTAATTGTGCAGTGTGCACAGACCCATTTCACATAACAACTGATTTTTAAGGTTTTTGTAAAACCATTTGCTTTATGACAATTCTTTACATATGCAGATAATTGTTAGTTTTTTGAACTGGAGGATTCAAAGAAATTCTCATTAAAAAATAGATCAGAACTGAAAATTAAGAATTTTTTTATTACAATTTTGCAAATCTTAATAAAATTCTAGAATTTGATAGAAATAATATCTATAAACATTTTTGCTTTTCTGAACCTTTGATTTTCGAGAAAAAAAAGGTTCACTGAATTTTTTTGACCATTTGATTACAAAAAAATATAAAATTTCAAAAATTTTAAAAAGCCCCCCCCTGAATTCTTATACAATTAATTCCCTGATCTGTGCAGGGGCAAATCTGCAGACTTAGGATTATGATAGTGGAATCTAGCTTCTATGTTAATAGTTTTTTCTTGTATTTCAAGATGAAAGACGACTTTTTATAATCGTCTGTAATCAACAATATTTTTTGGGGAGCGTGCACACTATATTTCAAAATTGATTAAATAGTATAGATGGGGGGGGGAGAGGGGGGATACAAAACAGCTCCATTGAAATAATTTAATTTGACTAAGAGTTCTCTTTGTTATTATAAGAATTTAGTATATTATTGAGCACAAAGCAAACCCTTCAGCGAAAAAAAATGCCGTTTTTTTACTTCAAATTCTGAAAATACTCTCAGTACTCCCCTGCGGATACCAAAAAAAAATGATTTAAAAGTTTTTGACTAAGAGGAAATGGATCAAAAATATGAGGAAACAGACCTAGAATTTGAGGAAACCAATCAACAAATTGAGGTTTTTAAAGTTTTTGAAAAAAGTGGAAACGGATCATAATATGAGGAAACAGACCTAAAATTTAAGGAAACCAATCAACAAATTGAGATTTTTAAAGTTTTTGAAAAAAGCGGAAACGGATCAAAAATACATGAGGAAACGGATCTAAAATTAGAGGAAACCGATCAACAAATTAAGATTTTTAAAGTTTTTGAAAAAAGCGGAAACGGATCAAAAATATGAGGAAACCGACCTAAAATCTGAGGAAACCCATCAACAAATTGAGATTTTTAAAATTTTTTTAAAAAGCGGAAACGGATCAAAAATATGAGGAAATGGACCTAAAACTTGAGGAAACCGATCAACAAAATGAGATTTTTAATGTATTTGAAAAAGCAGAAACGGACATAAAATTTGAGGAAACCAATCAACAAAATGAGATTTTTAAAAGTTTTTGAAAAAAGCGGAAACGGATCAAAAATATGAGGAAAGGAACCTAAAATATGAGGAAACCAATCAACAAATTGAGATTTTTAAAGTTTTTGAAAAAAGCGGAAACGGATCAAAAATATGAGGAAACGGATCTAAAATTTGAGGAAACCGATCAACAAAATGAGATTTTTAAAGTTTTTGAAAAAAGCGGAAAAAGATCAAACATATGAGGAAACGAACCTACAAATACAAGAAAATTGATCAAAAAAAAGAGGAAACCATTCAACTCTAAATATTGGGAAACGGATACAAAATATTCCGAAATTCCTCAACAATTCTGAACTTTCGAGGGATTTCCTCGAATTTAAAAAAAAACGGAAATTCCTCAAAAATAATTTTTGATCTGTTTCCATGTTGAGGCGTTTCCATGTCACCCCTGCTAAACCTGTCCCTAGTCCCTCCACCCTTCTCCCTCCCCACACACACTCAAGGTGGCCCACTAACAAATATATGAAAGCTCTATGAAATTATACATGATACACCTCTCTCTCATTGGACGAATTGTGTGTGTCTATGGGATTTGATTGGTCAGATTAGCAAGCTTTCGGAATTCTTATGGCATTTTAGTTTAAGTTATCAACACTAGGTGTCTCTTGAACTAGATTAATTTTGAAGAATTTTTACAATAAATTTTTCAAAATTATGTGCATTTAATATTTGCGGTAAAAAGTAACGTTTTTTAAGACGAAATTTTAGAGTTTGGAAATTAATTGTCAGTAAATGTTTATAAACGTTTTTCCACTTTAAAAGCATTAGTCTAAATAAATTATCAATTATTGTAATTCAGTTATGAAAAGATTTCAGATTTACAATAACTAACATGAATATTTGTGGTACTACACCTGCCTGCTGAAAACACAGAGCCCACCTCCCTAAAATCACTAAATGTGTTAGCATTGCGTTGGGAATTGCTGAAGTAGAAAAATTGTTACTTCCATGGGTGTGTTCGTTTAGAAAGTGTGTCTCTATCACATTAAACTATTCTGTTAAAACAGGTACACAATTTTATGATGGACTAAGTTCCATTTAAGATAATCTTATCCATATTGAGTTCATCATCATCGTGGAATATATGAAAAGGTTTTAAGTCATCGAGGTATTAAATAGTCCTTTTATGTCTCTAATATTCTTTATTTTAAAATGTAAAATAAATAATATTGTTTTAAATGTTTGTTGTCGATATATGTTATAAACCTCGACAAATTTAATAGCAGATTGCGCAAACTTATAAATTGAGAAGGATTTCTTAGAGGTTGTGCTTGGAAACCCATTTGAAAAGATTTCATTTGTACAAAAGTTGGATGGCTATGCGTAATTATAGCACATATGGGATATAAAGCTAACATGGGATGTTTATAATACTAAATCTTTTAAAGAAATATTGCATATATTTTACAGTATATAATAAGTTTTTTTTACAATAACTTTTTATCCTAAATGTGTTAATACACATTGTTTAAATCAATATTTTTAGAAGTTAAAAATATATTTTGAATTCTAAAGATGAAATTACATTATCAGCACTGTTCAAGGTAAAAATAGCGATATATCTTCCACCTTATTGATCAGATTAAGTTTTCAAGGGTACCGTTGTGAATCGTGCATGCCCCCTGTTTATCATAAATAGAGTGGCACTTGAGATTAGATATAGATGGGTGGGTGGGTTCAGGTCTCTGTTACGAACACTTGATCTGATCAGACCTTTCAGATCTAGACTTCCATCAAGTCACTGCATAGTTACAGCTTTAAAAAAGAGGAACATAATAAATGGGAAAGTTACCAGCATACCAAACTTGTTCAGGAATGTGATATATGTAAAAACTTTGAGTTAAACAAACATCTTCTTAAGTCATATCAAAAATTTGTTTGTTAGATTACACTACACTACACTACACTACACTACACTACACTACACTACACTACACTACACTACACTACACTACACTAAACTGCAATACACTACACTACTGCACTCCACTACATTACACTACACTACACTTTAACAGTTACTGCAGGAAAGAGAAATCAAGAAGAATCATTTAAATTCAAATTTTAAAAAATCTTTTTTTTCATTATATTTCAATTGTTTCATTGAAACTACCATCCACCCTTAGCTTGAATAGTCTCCTCAATCCAATCCACAAACCCTGCAACCCTGGTGTATACTGCTGGTATACTGGAGTCACATGGAGCAGGACCAAAGCTAACAATCCCAACCTGGAACCATCTTCCATCCTTCTCACAGACCAGAGGTCCCCCACTGTCTCCGTTACAGGAGGTGTGTCCATCTCCTCCAGCACACTGCATAGTTGACTGGATATTGAAATCAGCACCTTCCAGGTATATATCTGAACAGGTTTCATCATCTAGCAGAGGAAGGTTGGTTTGTCTCAGGGTCCAGGGTTGACCATATAGATCTCCAGGTAGATTCTCATTAGGTCCAACCTTACCCCAACCAGTCAATATACAAGACATACCTGCAGGGAAAGAACTTGAATCCCCGAAATCTCCAAGGTCAGGAAGACAAGGTGGGGAAACAGTTGGTCCCATTACAGCTGGTTCAACTAGTTTAAGTAAAGCAACATCCTGGGCTCTGTCTGGAGAATCATAGTTTGGATGTATGTATTTCTCAGCAATTGTTATTGTTTGCTTTCCCTCCTCACCCTCATCTCTTCTGTCATGCTGTCCAACAACAACAACATCTCCGTAGTACGTTCCAATGAAGACGATCTCTGCGCAGTGTGCCGCGGTTAGAATCCAGTTGGGAGAAAGCAATGATGCGCCACAGTAGTGCTCATCAGCTTTCCCCTTGATAGACACTTGCCATGGGAAAGAATGAGGAATCACTTCCTCTCCATTTATAATTCTTTGTTCATTGTTTGGAGGTATAGCAGGCTGACCGCATTCTTCATCTGCTTGATGTAAAGGTTGCTGTACAATCACATTTCCATACACACAGGACACAGCTAGAAGCAGCAGCAGCATCTAGGAGAAAACATGATATTTTAAAACTGGTTCAATGCACCAATTATTTGCTTAAAAACTATAATATTTTGATCCCTTTATTTTTGCTACCTGGTGGTGTATTTATATAGCGGAATTTATAGAATGTACTAGGTCAAAGGCCTCTGGTTGCTAAGATATGAGGATTAGGAAATTAAAGCTTGTGGCAAGCAGTCAGTTACTCTAAAAAAGAATTTTTTGATCTTCTTTTTAGAAGATTTCCATACTCACAGGACACAGATAAAAGCAAGAACAACATCTTTAAGAAATGTTTATTTTGATCAGGGTTATGTTTAAGCATTCCTTAAAAACCATACAAGCTGAAATAAGAAATTAGATTTGAAACACTTTGCTATAAATATAATAAATCTCAGAAAGAAATTCAAAAAACAATTTGAGAGAATATAAAAAACTTTTAGAATGGCCAACAAATTGAAAAATATCAGATTGAAAAGAATTTCTTATGTTTTTTAGCACATTACTAACTTTTAAAATAAGTTTACAGAAGAATGTTTGTAATTTTTATCAGGCTTGGTGAATAAAACTTTACGTGTAGGAAACCATTGAATTTTACGAAGACTAATCAAAAAATACTTAAAAATGAAACTATTCATCAGAACAAATAGTTATTTTTATAATGTTTTGAAAGATTTTACAATTTACCTTGCCTCTCCACTACTATCTTTTGAACTAGTTTACTTGGATTAAGATTAGCAAGCATTATGTTTTTTATCTTCTTTAAGGGTACTGAAAAATATCTCTGTTAATAAAAAGAATTTGAAAAATATCTTATTAAAAAGGAACAATTCTAAAAACAGTGTGCAGTGGGCAATAAGTTTTCTTTTCCTTAGTTTTTCTTGGACAAACTTAATTATTTTTTCTCATCAATAAAAAGTTATTTGTTGTTGTTAACAATAAACCTTAGTTTTATTTGAAATAAAAGTTGATAACAAGGAAATTTTTGTAGATTTTTTCTTTCAAATATCTTAAAAGGGGCATTTTCAGGGGATAGGTTAGGGGGCAGTGTCCCTCCATATACAGAGGTAGGATAGGGTTCAGTGCCCCTCCATATACAGGGGATAGGTTATTAGGCAGTTCCCCTCCATATACAGAGGTAGGTTAGGAGGCAGTGCCCCTCCATATACAGATGTAGGTTAGGGGGCAATGCCCCTCCATTTACAGAGGTAGGTTAGGGGACAGTTCCCCTCTATATACAGGGGATAGATTAGGGGGCAATGCACCTCCATATACAGAGGTAGGTTAGGGGGCAATGCCCCTCATTTACAGAGGTAGGGTAGAGGACAGTGCCCCTCCATATACAGAGGTAGGTTAGGGGGCAGTGCCCCTCCATATAATCCATAAGACTCCTCAAAATTATCTTTATAGATACTTTAGAACAAGGTTATAATGTACGTAAGGAATGTTATTTTAGCGGTGTATGCATCTTGTGTACTGCAGTGTACTGTCACTAGGCGGTAATGTAAACACAAGACGGATGTCGAAGCCTGACATGGGATCCACCTTTCACATAAAAAATCAATAAAATATTCTGGTCATAGGAAACTATTATGTGAATAATCAAAATTATAAAAATGTAATGCTTTTAACCTCCTCGGATACTAAACACACACTGATGCATTTATTCTTGTTTAGAAATTCAGCCTTGAGAGAACTGGTTTCTTTATAAACGCAGAATATACGCAACTACAATTAACTTTCCTTACATTATAATCTTGCTTCAGAACATTTAAAGTAATTATTTTTTCCCTTGAATCGATCTAACATATGTTAAGTTGGGGGAGGGTCAAAAAATATTTGCGCCCCCTCCCCATATATAATCCTTTATATGCCCCTGATGCTGATACTGGGTGAGAAGTTCATTTGGACAGGACTTTAGATATATAGATAAGATATATAGATATATAGATAAGATATATAGATATATAGATAAGATATATAGATATAGATAAGATATATAGATATATAGATAAGATATATAGATATATAGATAAGGAAAAATTTTATTTTTAGATTTAACAAATACTGATTTTAAGCTGGACAGTAAACAATAGACATTGTAAGTAGAATATGTAAGATTTAATTTCACAAAAATACGTAATTTATTAAGAATAATAATTAATAATTAAAAATGAATTAGAGAAAACATGGTATTTAGGAATCCTTGCATGTGATCCTACGGCATCTTTTAGGTAAATAATGAATATCATTACTAAAATTCGCTCTGAAATTTTTGGAAAATCCTCTCCTATAATTATTGATATTGAAATTTTCATAAAACTAATCCCGCATTTTAAGTATGAATTAGATATGTATGTTTTTGTTTCTCTAAACTGAGTATTTTAATTTGCGGCTTCTCTGCTAAAGTGATTTGCATATTTATGGTTTATCAGAAGAAATGAAGAAACATTTTTAGAATCAGAAAAACGACGGCATCTTCCACATTTTTGATCAAATTTAATCTTTGTATATTGGGCATTACCATCTTTGCATAGAGGGTCATTTAAAATTACGCATACAGTCCCTTTAAAATCCAACTTGAATAACAATTTTAAATTTTAATTTTACTCTGAATAAAAAATGCTTCCAGAAATTTACCATCAACTCACATATAAATAATAAACAAAGCTAATTATGAAAATTAATTATAAATTTCAAACTAAACCCTTTCAACTTAAAAAGGCTAAAAGTATATAATCAAAAAGCTTAAGTGAACATTTGTAACTCATCGAACAAAAATAAATTTCCCATTATATTTATTAGAAGCAACATTTGTAAAAGAAAAAAAATTAAAAAAATTAAAACTTATTTAGCGCCGATTGAAGGATTCATCTCTAATTGGATAATGACAAAATAGAAAGATAGATGTTACCGCCATACTATTTCTATTGGTTTATGAATAGACAACAAACACATGACTGAACCCTGATTGGATCAGGCACTAATGGACTCGGCATACAGGAGTGAACAGTGTGGATTGGAATGTGATAACGTTCCTTTTTTATTTCGAAAATACTTACATTATTAATTCTATTTTTTCTCAAATCTATTCTATTTGATTATGATCCCAGCTTAAAGACTTTTCAAGTTTTATTTCAAGAAACTTATTTTCTCAATCATTTTCCATTCTGTTCAAATCTGAATCTATAATCTTTAAAGTTCTCAATATAATTTAACTTTGTTCATCGCATTTATATTCTGAAAAATATGTTTTACCTATTTAATAAAACAGTGTTTATAAAACCCAAACAATCCTTTTTTCAAAAATGTCCGTCAGGCAATGTTATCAAAATTTTCTGATCAAATTAATAATAGAGTTTTGTCTGAAACACGTTTTTGATTCCATGTCACAGACTTAAATATTCAATTAAACGAGCTAATTTTTTGCCACACAATAAAAATTAATAATCCGAATATCTTTGCAACCTGATATTTAAAATTTAGTTTATTTGATTTAGCAGAAATCATAGTATAGTAAATTTTATAAAAGAAAGTATCAGTAAACTAAACTTTTCAACATAAAAACGCAAGTTTTAAATTAAAGTAATCATAATTTATTTTAAACGCTTATCTAATTGATAAAACACTGAAAATAATGAAAAGTTCAAGTACATTACGGAAGTGAAAACGGTTTAATTATTTTAATTTGGTTATTTTTGCCTCTCAGGAATTGAAAGGTATGAAGCTGAGAAGCTTCTCAGTTCAAAAAGTACGAATAATCCCTTTAAAGGGACTGTAAGCGTATTTTCAAGTGACCCTACATGCAAAGTTTGCAATGCCCAATTCACAATGGTGTCCTTAAAAACTTTGTATGAATTAGATATCTATGTTTTTGATTCTTAAAACTGTTTATTTTCATTTGCATTTCTTTTCGAGTCAGAATAACGGCATCTTTCACATTTTTATTTGATTAAGGTTTCAAGGGTATCGTTGTAAATCGGGCATTGCCACTTTTTCATTGATGATCACTTGAAAACACTCGCTTGGAGTCCCTTCAAACCAAAAGAACCACCAAAGTTAGCTTCATCTAGAATTTTAAATATTTAAACTGATCAAATCTGTAAATCATGTCAATAATAATAAATAAAGGTTTTTATTAGCTTCAACTCATTATGATACATCTTTATTTATCACATTTTGAAATAAAGACACAATCTTGCATCATGTATTCTGCAATTGTCTTCTGTTTGAAATGAGCAAAATGTAAAATTAGTAAAATAAAGGATTAGTTTTAAAATATAAGGCTACCATTAGTTTAGAATACTAGGCTTTTTAGGCTATTTTTTTTAATCTGACCATTCATAAACATTCCCTGGGATCGGTTCAGCCGTTCTGACGTTTATTTGACAAGCAAAATATATAAATAGATAATCCAAGTTAAATAAAGTAAAGAAATGGACAGGAGTGTACAGAAAAGAAGAAAATTGGGAAAATGATTATCTACATTAAAAAAAGTATTTATCAATTAGAAGTCGCTTAAAAATTGTAATTTTTAAAACTGGGAAAATAAAAATAGCAAATTTGTTTTTTAAAAAAAGATAATCCATCTTAAAGTATTTAAACTCTAAAATATTTTAATGTGTACATTGTTGCAATAAAGATATTCATAATTGATAACCATGAAATACAATTCTCAATACACGTTCAGTACGAAATCTTAATCTTAATCTGAATTCTGAAACTAATTAGTTTGAATTGATAATATTACAATATTTTCTGAAGAAAGATAAACTGCTAGAGTTTGGCTCCAAGTGTGAATAGTGTGCATTAACAGAAGCTAAATGAACATTTGCTCTTCTCCCCTAGCTAGCTCTAGAGAATAAATAGAAACTGTTTCATCATAAATAATATTTAAGAGAAGCTAAATTAACATTTGGCTCTTCTCCCCTAGCTCTAGAGAATAAATAGAAACTGTTTCATCATAAATAATATTTAAGAGAAGCTAAATTAACATTTGGCTCTTCTCCCCTATTGGCGTACGAGTATACATGAAGTAAATACCCTACTCCTCGAAATACTTTTAGGTCAGTATCAATCCAGGTACAACTCAATCCCTCTCATTAATCCACGGTTCATAAGAACCCGTTTGATAAATACTTTAGTATTAATGTCAATCTGGACTCAACTTTATCTGTATCAACACTCAATTCCTCTCGTTAATCCACGAGGCATAAGAACATTCCCTTTAATAATACTTTAGTATCAATGTCAATATGGACATATTTTTTTCTGTATCAATACTCAATATAATTCCCAATCTATATCTATCTTTCAAGAAAGTGATTCAGGACTGATGTTTATTTAGATTTCTATGTTACAGATTAAGGTAATGGACGTAATCAAAGGTTTTGCGTCGTTATATATCAGCGTAGTTAAGCTAATCACAATACAGGTTAAACATAATTATTTACAGAAGTATATAGGTTAGCTTAATTGCAATACAAGATTTGCGTAGTTAATGATAAGCGCATTTAGATTTACAGACAATGCAGAAAGTAATTTATCTAGGTGTGTTCAGGTTTATAACTAAGATATTTATTACAAACATACATACACAAGGGATCAAAGGATAAGAGTTAAGAACATTTATTGCAAGACCTTAATCTACAATTGACAGACAAGAAAAAACAAAAGTACATTTCAGAGTATCACGATAGTTTTTTCCAAAGACGGCAGCCCCCCCCCCTGAACTGGAAAAAAAATTATTAAACACGCTCAT